ATGCTCTCGTTGCTGAAACCTTGTCCGTTGAGCAGCACACGCAACTTCTTGTTTTCCTCGGCTACTCTTCGTGCCGCCTGCTGAATCTCAAAAGATGCCTCGACCCCCTGAAGCTCGCAGAGCCTCACCCGCTTCTCAAGCTCCTGTATATATTCCTTGCGCCGGGCACGAGATCTCCTCTGGTTGTCTCGTACCCTAGTCAGATTTGACTTATCCTGCTAACCATGTCAGCGACCTAGAGCATAAGACATAACAATAGCAGCCAACGCGGCGAGTGAAAGGAAGGGTTTACCATGCGTATAGGCTGCTGCTGTATTATTCTCAGCCCGGGAATTGGATAATGCTAGGAATGAGGTTTAGTATAAATTAACCAAAGTAACGGCAAAAGGGGGCCGCTGTTGTCATTGAACGAATGAGAAGTAGTTCCAGTTGTAGATACCTGAGGAGCAGACAAGGTCAATTGGATGAGAATTGGGCGTTGAGCTTTAATCAAGTTAATGATAGAAGGGCACAAGCTGCCGCCGCGCTAGTCGGTGTGGGAACCCGACCTGTTGTCGGCAATGATATCACTCTACGATGGCTTGCGATTGACGGTGAAGATAGGCCATCTTGAAGGGGGCTGAAAACCCCCCCTAAAAAAGCACATCAGCGCGCATGGGAAGGAGTGTCTATTGACCGCCAAAATTTGGTGACAGTATACAATGCATAGCAGACCCTACATATAGGTTTGTCATCAGCTGAATCTGGCATATTGTTACCATTGCTTGATCCAATCATGTCCCGCCGACCGCAGGAAGCTGGCATGGCCACCATGTCACCATCTCTACCTACGAACAGAGAGTCGCAGAATCGGTCCCCTCCAGATAAAAGAGAGAGAGAGCTGTCTACACAGTGACGGGGCATTACATTCCTCCTCGGGGTTGGCGTGTTCGTTTCCGGCTAACACGTTACACAGGAACGGCCCACCCGGCGATGAAGCCCTCTTGGTTTGATGCTTTCGATGAAGTGCGTCGGAGATCTTTGTGGCTGGCCTTTGCGGCAGCATTGCGGCAGCGAGGCTTGCCTGTGAGTTGATGAAGTTGAAATTGAGTTGGCAGGGCAGTTGGAAAGTGGGAAGGATTCAAGCAGGGGGGTGCGGTGGGTGCAGGGGGCTCGTGGGGGGATTCACAACCACGCCAAGCCCAAGCAAACCTCGGGCTGCATGTATAATTGGACCATCTGATACCGGCCAATGCAGTAGTGTCATGTAAGACTCATGTAGGTTCACCCTTCGGGACCGTTCCCTGCCTATACCTGGTTTCATTCTCAGACCAACGAGGATCTACTATATGTAATGGATGTACCGAGCCTCGAAACGTACCGAGGTACACCGTTTAAAGACGAGAGGGAAAGTATCTATCGATTCTCATGAACAAGCCGATGATGAAGGAGCAAAATGAAAGCTCATATCTTCTTCTAGAGATAGGATGTGTACGGAGTTGTGTTCTTTACTAATGGACAGCAAAATTTTTTAATTAATACACCCACCGGTGATGGCCGCATCGTCTGCTTATGTTATAGGTACAGCATAAGTGGATTGCAGTATCTTTCGCCAACGACAACGTCTCTTTAGATACCCACCTATCAATTTCGCCATCACTAGGGTATATGTAAGTAATGTCTGAGTGCTGTCTGTCGAGCCCGTGCTTTGCAGTAGTCTGTTCAAGGGATGATCATCGACGGCATGTTGAGAAGCTGCCGATAGAGCATTCTACTGTGGCTTGCTGTCTTAGACCGATCGAGACATATTTGATCTTGCAGCGATAGCTAGTAACAGGCGGTGAACACGAATGGGCGACGTCTTGGTAGCTGGGGAGAGACAAGACCGGGAGGAAGGCAAAGTACAATCTCCTCGTAAAGCCACTTCATATATATGCCACGGTATTTGCTCGACTATCCGTACGCGGAGCGTCATTGGCATAGGTTCTACCCCATCGTCATTCTATTCTGAGTTTAGTGTTCTGTGGTAAGTTCACCGTGTCTAATGTAGGTATAGTTCTGTATACCTTTCCGTTTTAGCTAGCATCGAGGTTTGTTCCCTGTCTCCCCCCTGGATATCAGGGGCGAAATAGTTATGAGGCTTCAAATAAAGGAGCGTTTATGGCAAATGTGGTGGGAAGTCTTCTACCTAAATACTAATGGGAATCCGCGGAGTTGTCAGGTTCGACACAACGGACTCTGTCGGGCGCCACTTTAGACGAGCTTCGAATCAACTCTATCGTCTTCGCCTCGTAGCTTGAATAGCTAGAAGACAACTTCTGAAGGGCTGGGTACTCTGCCCTGCAAAGTTCTCTGAGTTAACGTTCAATGTCAGCATGCATATCTCATATACCAAGAGGCTCTACTGAGCCATATGAATCTAAGCATCTATCGAAGCTACTGGACTTGTGATTGGCAATCTGATTCGAAATCTCCCAGTGTTCTTATGTTATCACATATCCAATGAGTTGATGAGTGACGGAATAAAATTTGCTAAGCCTATGACGTGGGTTTAATATTGCTCTCTGTCCAAGGAGGAAAGGGATTAGTAAAGGATAAGCATTGTGTTATTAGACCATCTGTAGGAGCGAAGCCGGCGATTCAATATAGAGCGCTACGTTACAGCGAAGGAGAGAAGAGCAGCAATGTTTACAGCGGCCTATTACTAAGACCATCACTGATTAGTGAGATTACCTTATGAAGGGTGCTGGCCTGCCAATTAAACCAAGACCTGGACTTGTCAAAGAGGCCTTACATGACCTATACACGTGAACGTAGACTTTTGAACATCTAAGATAATAATTTTTACAACTATAGTGAAAATGGACCAATGCCCTTACATGGTTGCCATTCCCCAAAGAAATCTTCGCTCAGCATCTCGTTCTCTCAAGCCGCTTTGCTGAGAGGACAGCGGTATTCTTGGTTCTTATGAATCAGACCCTAATTGGTGAACAGGGTACGATGAACTGGTTACTTTGTTGATCTATCGTATCGGATAAGACGGCTCCATTGTAAGCGAGGGCTGCCATGGAAGCTATTACGTATAACGTAAACCAATCCAATATATCATCAACATGAGGATCTACCAAGGCTGATATCTAATGAAGAAGGAGGTCTCGTACTCGTTTACTACAAATAGTCTAATGACCTCCGGATGATATGCGAGAGACTGGAACATGAAGATTAACTATATTTTACTAGCACATCATCGAGCAGAACTTCTGCAGGGGAGATCGGATTTAGAGACAGTCTAGGCTATCCTTTACGAACACGATAGTCTTGTTCAGTACGCATACGTAAGGCCGCGGACAGCAATATAGCACCCTACCAAGGCATCAAGCTTACGGAAGTCTCCGTTACGCAAGATTGAAGCAGGTCTAGATGGCCATGGATGTGGGAAGCTCTCGCTTTATTTATTAGTGGGCCTTGCGGCGGCCGTTCGAACGTCTATTCAGGGGTAGAATTCTTGAACATCCACGGGCAGCTAATGACGCGACCAAATGTCTTAAGCAAGGCAACTAGATGCGAAGTTTAATATGATATGGCCGTCATTCTGACCAACTGAGGTCTAGAGCTCGGCGAGCCTGATGAGGCTTGCCGCTAGAGAAAACCGGGAGGGTCATTGCGGCAAGATGCCGGTCCAATGAGTTGGATCAACAAAGGGAGCTACGAATCCTACGAAGTATGTATGACCTGAATGTCGAATATGCGTTGAAATCTATTAGCGGTATGTTTATTCACTTATGGACTAAGCCTCTCGAGAGACCATTCCTCGGCGGCGCCTTGGGTAGACTCCTTTTTGTTGTAGACAAAGCGGTCGTGTAAACGATTCTGTCGACCCTGCCAAAACTCAACAGATTCGGGCACTATCCGTATACCACCCCAGAATTCGGGCACTGGGATATGTTCCTGTCCCTCGAAACGCTTCTCGGTCTCCTTGACCCAACTATCCAGTTCCTTCCGTCCGTCATCACCCCCCTCCTCCCCGTCGGTCGCCCCAGCAGGCTTCAAGACCTGGCTCTGGCGACTGGACCAAGCGCCGATCCGGCTGCCGCGAACCCTGGTATCGAAGTACGTCTGGCTTTCCTCGCGCGAGAGCCTGCTGACCCGGCCCTCGACCCTGACCTGCCGCTCGAGCTCCTCCCACCAGAAGGTGAGACTAGCCCACGGGTTGGTGGCGAGGTCCCGGGCCTTGCGGCTCGTGCCGAAGTTGCTGTAGATCACGAAACCCTGGGCGTCGAGCTCCTTCAGGTAGACCACGCGCGAGGAGACGCGGCCCGAGGGCAGGGAGGCGGTGGCTAGGCAGCATGTCTCTGGATGCGCGATCAGCCCCGACTTCTGGGCCGACGCGAACCAAGTGTGAAACTGGCGGACGGGAGAAGCGGGGTCCAGGTCGGAACGAGTCAACACATGTTTCGTGAATTGCTCTGCCTGTCCCTGTCCTTCTTTGCCGGCTGGCGCAACTGTGTGGATAATGAGTGATCTTCCGCCGCCGCATTATTAATGTAGATCGATAGCTCACAGATCAATTTCTCCTTGTTTTCACTGGCAGAGTGTAACGCCATCCTGCAGGTCCCTCTGAGATATTGTGGTAGGAAAGTCGAACGTATAGGTTGCGTGATATACGATCGTGTCAACGCAGAGGACCCAACAACGCTTATTGGAGAGAAAACGTGAGATTTATATACTTGACGTACTACCATTATTGTGGAGCTGGACTGAATATAAGACGTTTAGAATGGCGAGAGCATCGCATGATCGAAGGAAAATCCCAGGTGCTCGGGAGGTCCTCTTTTTAAAGTTTATAGTTCTAGATCACTCCGATTCTCTCTGCTGTCTACCTCATACTTGTCTCCCTCAAGAGAGGGAAATGATACAGCAATAACTTAGAGCTACGGAAAGACATAGGGGGAGCAAACAAGGCAAAAAGAAGCCTTTACAAGGCTTCTCCTTATTTATAAGGACAACCCAACAGATGAGACAGGTCGGTCTGGGATTCGAACCCAGATCTAGAGAATGAAAGATCAGAATCTCTCGTGCTAACCCTTACACTAACCAACCATAGTGAAATTTGATTTTATGGTGTACTGTATAGGATTTCCCACCCGTCCGAATTTTAACCGTTTTTTCTTACGGGCAGACTAGGGAGAAATATTTTTTTTTTTCAGCTTGGCTTGACATACGACGGAGGGGTAGAGGGGTTTCTCGTCTTATCATGGTCAGTTGCACGATAAGCGACACGTCCGAGCCGTCACTCACTATTTCCGAGCTCGCTCTCGACAATAAATTCAGCTGCCTTGATACTTTTTTCTAGCTGACAGCTCTATCATACAAGCCTATAGACGTTCCATTCTAGCACTCGATCGCCATGGCATCAGATACAGACACCCTAGCGACCATCGAGAGTCTCCGCGACTCGCTCTGCTCCGAATTGACCCCGCTGCCCATGCGCTTCCGCGCCCTCTTCTCCCTCAAGCATCTCGCCCGCCACGAGACCGGCGACGAAGCGCTGGCCGCCATCGACGCCATCGCCGCCGGCTTCACCTCCCCCTCCGCCCTCCTAAAACACGAGCTGGCGTACTGCCTGGGCCAGTCGGCCAACCAAGCAGCCGTGGCGCCTCTGCGGAAGGCCCTCGCGGACCTGCAGGAGGATACCATGTGCAGACACGAGGCCGCAGAGGCACTGGGAGCCCTGGGCTGGGCCGATAACCTGGATATACTGCGCGAGTTCCGCGACCGCGAGGGAGAGGAAGACGTCATTATAGAGACCTGCGAGATCGCCATCGACAGAATAGAGTGGGAAAACTCCGAGGAACGGAAGAAAGAGAAACTGCATCAAAGGTATATATTATCTGCGCGCGCAAAGTGCAAGGCGGCTATCTGCGAGAACATCCAGGCCTAACTAATAGTAAAATATAGCGATTTTGCCTCGATAGATCCAGCTCCTCCGATGCCCGACTCGGAGCAAACGGTCGCGGAGTTAGAGAATGCACTCATGGACACGAAGTCGCCTCTCTTCCTACGATACCGAGCGATGTTTGCGCTCCGTGACCTTGCATCGCCACCCGACCTTCCAACAGCCGTCCCCGCCGTCCACGCCCTCGCCAAGGGCTTCGCGGACTCTTCGCCCCTCTTCCGACACGAGATCGCGTTCGTCTTCGGCCAACTCTCGCACCCGGCCTCGATACCCGCCCTGACGTCCGCGCTAAGTGATCTCGACGAAGCCAGCATGGTTCGGCACGAGGCGGCGGAGGCACTCGGAAGTCTGGGCGAGGAGGATGGCGTCGAGGACATCTTGAAGAAGTTCCTCCACGACAAGGAGAAAGTCGTGCGCGATAGCATCATCGTGGCCTTGGACATGGTCGATTACGAGCAATCGAACCAAGCAGAATATGCGCTTATCCCCGAGGCGCCAAAGGTAGCAGCGGTTTAGGCGGCGTTAGAACATGATTTGATATAGGATACCAAAAAAACACTGGCATGATTTCGTTCCTTACGTTCATACTATAGCATGCCATGACCCTCTCTTTGAAAATGCTCGTAGGACAATTCCGTTCGCCCGTACACGCTTTAATTGTTGGTGTTCCACCTGTTCGGGAACCTAGATTAGCTACGCCCAAAGTAACAAGGTGCCGCACAGGGGTAGCCACATACTTGTGACCGCATTCGCAGGTGTAGAAGATGGTGCTGCCTTCGTCCGCACTGCGCAGCTGGACGGCCGAGTATCTGACTTCGGTGCGCCCGCACTTCTCGCACGTCTCGGCGACGAGTGCCTCTGTCTGGAGTGTGTGTCGCTCGACCGATTGTACATTGGAGAGTTTCTGACGAAGTAGAGACGGGAAGTCGGAGGGTTTGCTCTGCGTGACCGTGGTCTTCGAGGCGGTATCTAGCCGTGGCTGTGTCAGGAAGCGGTAGGCAGAGAAAGGAGGAGGATGGCTAGGGTGACAAGATACCTCTGTTCTCGGCACCACAGCACTCGCAATTCAAGATGTTCTTGACATTGCCCTTGGATGCGGGGAGGAGATTCCCGCAGTCGGTACAAAAAACGAGGGAGCCTATAGCTGCCATTGCGATTGTCCACCGTCGCTTATTATATGAGCGCTCCGTAGGAGTTTCCGTAAGAGGTCTTATTTGGTGTGTGCGAATAGCGACTCGATCTGGGGAAGGCTACGAATGGAACAAGAAGAAAAAAAAAAAAAAAGATAGGTACATATGTATGTAGGTACTCCCTGATCAATGCCCAGTGGAGGTTTCTCCGCCAAGATTCTAGAATTCCAACATGGCCTAGGCTGGCTAGGTACCTGGTAGGTACGTACCTCGGTTATGCAATCGATAAGGTATGCACATACCGTATGTTGGTCCTGCCGAGTTGCGATTGAATTAAGCTTCCAAGCACGTATGGTACCTGCCTAACCTTGCACCCATCCCAGTACGCGGCCTGAGAACCGGGCTGACTTCATGTATTGCAACATTTCGTACATTTGACGTCTGGACGGGCCGCTACTACCTCATGGAGGTGACTTGGGCTTATTAATCATCTCTCCGCAGCAACAGCAACGGCCACGGCAATAACGCGCTCGCCCTATCACGTATGGCACACGACGCCGGCGATTGCGATGAGCTAAGGTTATCGAATGCAGCGGGAACCTGCGTACACCTAACGCGAAGCAGCTTGGCCGGTGGAAACCATCGACCATGGCAAACGAGAACAGCCAGAACGGCATTGCGCCTCGCTACGGCCAGCAGCCCTATCCTCAGCAGCCGGAGATCACCAGACCCTTCACCTTGGAAGAGGCCCTTCCCTATACACCCTTCACGTCGGTCTTTCCCTTCGAACCGGGTAGGTACATCCGTTGATGGACGAGTCCGGCGCGCTTTCCATCCTTCCATGCCTCGTTCCTTACCCTCGTGCCTTGCCTCGTTCCTACCCCCGTTCTGCTCTGCTCCTTCTGCTGTAGCCACTTACTTCACTTTGAAGCTCAATCGAAACTAACGCGCATCCAATTTCTTTCCAGGCATCATCAACAATCCCACCATCGGTTCGGGTCCGCTGGCCCAGTCGCTCGCCGGTGTCGTCTCGAGAGAAGATTACGATGCCCTGAACAAGGAAGCCGAAACCTCTAACCAGTCCAAACGGGTCGAGGGCAGCCTTGAGTTCATACAACACCTGTTGAAACCGGAGAAGATTACACAATTGTAAGCCGCGCCGGCGTCGTGTTCGTTATGGCGAGTTGTGTCGAGCGCCAACTAACAGCCTCGATAGCCAGTTCAAGACAGCACCGAAGGCTACGTCCCAAGCCAGCAAACCGTCGAAACCGCTTACCGATGGTATCTCCCCCTTTGCGAAGATGGTCTACGACAACACGGCCATAGCTTTCCGATATCCTACCCCCGATACGCCGAAATCCTCTACAGCCAACGGTCACGCCATGTCGCCTCGAGTCACCGTGAACTCCCCCAAGTCTCGGAGGCAGGATCCGCCGAAAGTTGTCAAGCACAATCCGGCTGCTGCAAATGCCCAGGCGGTCGCTCAGAACAAGGCGCGGATCGAGATTCACTTGCCGACACAGAAGCAGCTGGGCGCCGCCGCCACTATACACCCATCCCTCAACCCCACCAATACCGCAACCCAGATTCAGCCCCAAACGGTCTCGCCTGCTGACCTGATGGTCGCACCAAAGGAACCAGAAACGCCCTTGCCGGAAACGCCGTCTCAACCCGCGGCAAAGGTCGAGGCCGGGTCTGCTTCACCTGCTAGCAAACGTGCGCTAATTAGGGTCGAGTTGCCCGCGGCGAGCTTCAATAAGAACGAATTTGCCGTCGTGCCCGATTCGCCTAATACGCCCACGCACTTGTCTGCCAAGAGAAAAGCCGGTCCTCACGATGACCTCGACGATCCCTTGGGCGTGGAGCTCAACCAGCGGGAGCATGCCAATGCTGCCTTTGAGGATCTGCGCCGATGCTTCCAGGAGATATTTGCCGCCGAGGACTATGTGACGGGCCACCAAGGCGGCGCATCCCATCTGGTATTCCTGACAAGTGATCAGGAGCCGACTATGACCATAGCCGCACACGGCAAAGCCCAGGGGAAAATAAAGAAGGCTATCGACTTTGGGTGTTTTCGCCAGGCGCCCCTGGACGACCTCCTTCGAATTCAAAGCCTGAGCGAAGGGTCCTTGAAGCATGCCGATACTCTTGACTTCAAGCTCGACGAAACCTGGGGCGAAACCGAAGTCGGCTTCTGGGTTCAGCAGCTTCCCGACATCGAGACAGGCCTCAAAGCCGCGCGGACGTCGCTGCGCATCATGTGTGGCGGCCGTGAAGAGAAACAGCTGTATTCCGAAGACCTGATTCAACAGGGACTCAACCTATTCAGGAATGTGATGGAGGGGATCATCATCCCGCTAGCCGAGCTCCGGAGTGCTGGTCCTACTGGTAACCTGTTCCGTCACCTCGCAGCGCATAAGAAAGTCGTCGGCACTCTGTTCACCGCTTGTCAACGACTTTTCGCCCTGATGTCAGACTTACTCGCGAGCGTCGACCTCTCGGAAACCGTAGTCAATACCTTGGAGTTTGCGGCCTCGCGTCTTATCTTCGTTGAGAATGCGTATACGGAAAAGGACTCGGCTGTTGGCGTGCAGAAATTCGACGGCTTTCGACTGGTGGCTATGAATATGCTGTCGGACATCTTCCTGCTGAATCCGTCCCAAAGAGAGGGTATCCTGAGCGAAATCTTGACTTCGCTGGAGAAGTTGCCGGTCGGCAAGCAAAGCGCGAGACAATTCAAGCTGTCGGACAACAAAAGCATCCAACCCGTCTCAGCGTTGATCATGCGATTGATCCAGGCCAGCGCCGGAAAGATTGATGATCGAAAGGAGAGGAGCCGCGGCCAGATGATTCAGTCCTTAGAGGATGGGAGCCGTGATCCAGCCAGCATGCCTAGTAAGGCCAACGGGCCTGCAGAGGCTCGCTATACTACACGGACGGAGGATCATGCCGCCATTCAGAACTCGACGGCGATCCAGGAGCTCCAGGAGCTCGCGCGCCCGCTTTCAGATGGT